AAAAAAAAAAAAAAAAAAAAAAAAACAGATAGAAACGCATTGTACAAAAGCAAAGAATGAAATGACGAAATGTCGATGTCGACATCACGCAATTGTGAGCTTACATCGATAATTATATATATGCTCGCTCAAATTATTAGCTATCAGTCGGAAATCTTGGCCGATTTTCGAACAATGGGAAAAAGAATCGCTCTAATCAATCGTGAAACAACGTACGTAAGCTCTTTACGTATACTTATCAATCACGATTGACCTGTAAAATGTATCCCTAAAAAAAATTGTATTATAATTTTTATCACGCGTTAAGGCGAATTCTCAAATTTATACTATATAAATTATATGTATATTTATATGCTATAAGGTCGAGCATAAATATTTCTTTTAAAAAGAAGAAACTTTTGAAATGAATTATGCTTTGGCGTGTTGGAAGAAGAGAATCTTAAAATTTAATCTAAGAATATTTCCATTCTCTCTTTCTCTTGTCAATATTAAGAAATGAAGAAATGAAAAATATTAAGAAAAAGAAATTTGTTTTGGTATTTTACAAAGGTATTTATCATTTCGCGTGTACATCACGTTAATAAATCCTTTTCCATTCAAGTTTTCCATTTGAATGTGAAAATTGAATTAAATTAAATTAATTAAAGAGAGGAACAATAATGGTACGAGCTTAATGATTTATCGACACGGCTTCCACTCGAATTAATTATGGATTTGTTCAAATTTCTACGATCAGAATGTGTGATATATGGAAGGATGTGCGTGTGTATGTATGCAAATATAAACGGGTGACAAGTTTTGTCTGACGAATTCGTTTCGTAACACCGTGCCACTTTACACTTTCTCCTTTCCCCAAATTTCCATGAATTAATTCTGTAAAATTATGCATCGGCCTGACGTATGATAATTTACATATAGGATATGTATATATATTTAAATGGTGTCTCCTCGTATTTAATTTTACGAAAGCATTTCCACGGAATTGTAACGATTTTTTACGCGTGCGTTTCCATGTAAATATTGGAATAAATTGTCGAAAGATACGTTAACGTTGAGTTTCATTGGAAATTGTGCAACAGGACGCAATCTTTTGTGAATGGATTATCCTTCCTTTGGTAAAATGGACGAACGAAATGGAAAATTAAAGTTAATTTTGAGAAATAAAGTTGAAAGAAATTGAAAGAAGAAAATTAGAGAAATTGGGATAAAGGGAAATGGAGAAATCATTTGTCAACGATGAAAACTTGTGCATACATCTTTCATCGATGGAGAAAACGTATTTTACCGCAAATGACATTCATGGTTCCATTTTCTCTCCGTGATATCGGCTGTGAAGTCACGATTCTCATATTTTCACGTCACGTCACGATATGTTTGTGAATATTGAAACGAAGCATACTTTTTCACGCCTCGAATGAATGATCCGATACAGAACAGAGAATCGAGTTGCCCGTTTTAATTTCCACAAGAATATTAACTCGAATAATAATGCATAATCTGTTATTCTGAAATTATATTCGATTTGATTAAGTACACGATTTGAAGCACATATTTAAATTAATTACTTTTCAATTTATCGAGCATATCATTATAAAGTCTTGCAGCGTGGCGCTACCCAACGTAAGTTTGATCAAAGCTACATGGCAGTAATTCGATTTCTCATCTTTCTTCACTTTCGTCTTCTTGAGATCGATTTGAAATTGAACACCGAATTCCACCTGAAACGCGGAACAAATTTTCGAGGCAATGCTGGTCGATTAAAAAGGGAATTTTTAAATTTTTAAAAAGAAATGTTGAAAAAAAAATAGAAATATTTTCAGAATAAACATTTCTGTTATACAATTAAATTTAAAAATTTTTGTTTTAAATAAACGAATTGGACAAATAATTTTGCGTGAAAATATTTGCAATTGTAAAATCCTATCGGATTGAATCGAAATCCTCGATATTCTGAAATAAGATATTTCCAATCGAAAACACGTAAGATTTCTCAAATATACCTTCTTTTTTTCTGGAACCAATAGCTGCCTGTTCTCGTCGAGATTCAAAAAGGAAAATCTGATTTGATCGGATCGCTTAAGATTTCCACCGTATATCGCCAAATGCTCGTTCGGCAAAAGTTTGTCGTCGAAATCCACTCTTCCCTCCATTTTTTTGCTGCTTTTTCCGATGCTTCTCTCTTTTTTTTCATTGTTTTTTTCGTTGCTTTTTTCGTTGTTCTTTTTATTCTTCGTTTGTTTTCGAAAAGACTTTGAATTTTCCATGTTGTGAAGAATCTCACCCTCTAACACATCGATAAAAGAAAGTTGGAAGACTAATGAACACGATCCCGTGTTTTGTATCTGAAATATTTAAAACAATCATCTCAAGTCTTTATTTTTTCGCTTTAATTCATCTCATTATTAAGATCATAATGAATTACTCGATCACAGATTAAA